TTGCGGAGTATCTGAATAATAAATGCAAAAATGGAGACTAATTTTGGCCAGGTAGCTCCGGCTCTTGCTGCTCCTAACAAGGCACGCATGTCTCATCTGCTCGGAAGCAACATCAAGGGAGGGGTCCAGTTAGAAACAGGTTACACAAACGAGGCGACGTGACGGCAGGGGTTTCAGGCAAAGCTGGAAAAGTGGGTGTTCGGGCGCTGGGTTTGGGTGGGCGAGAGGGCGAGCGCCTAGTGGGGTGAGGAGAGTTTTTGGCTGCACCGATTTTTCAACTTGGCCTTTGCTGGAGAAGCAGAAAATTGGGGTGACGTGATTTAGTGTGGTCGCAGAGGGGCGAAGAGGGATTTTTGAAGAAAGGTAACTGTCTTACCTGTGGCAGCCGCACGCGTTTTCGTAACTATAGCAACCACTCTCGCGAGAACTTATTTTCTTTACTGGCCACAAACTTATTTCTAGACTCGCGATAATACGTTCAGCGCGGAAAGTAGGGAGCAGCTGAGTGAGTTCGTGCGCCTGCGCTTTGGAACCTGCCTGCTAGCGACGCGGTCTTGCTGACCCAGTGCGCTTTTAGCTGCTTCTTCTTACTCAGCTTTGCAAGAGTTTGGGTTAATTGCACGGTTTTCTACCTATCCATTTTGCTTTCTCGACTCTTTTGTTATTCCTCCATAAACAGGTGAAAAACCAAAAGGAAAGAAAAAAAGCCTTTAGTAAGCGGATTGGGAAAGAAGTTAAGCGGTATGCCTTGGTAGATTGAAGCAGGAGGGTCGCTTGAGGTCCGGAGTTTGATATTTGCCAGGGCAACAGTAGAGCGAGACCTTACTCTCTTTAAAAACAAAAACCGATCATTTCATTATTATGTATCCTTTTATATCCCTAGACCCCCACCGCCTCTTTTGGTGACAGGGTCTGGCTACCCAAACCTGGGCTTGAATTTGAGATCACCTTGCCTCAGCCTCCCAGTATGCTGGGATTATACATCACGTAAGCCTTTCTCCCACTTGAGTGTGGTGGGGCACACCTGTAATACCCGCAGAGACCGAGGCAGTAGGCTTGCTCTGAGTTCAGGCCCAATCCGAGAACACAGTGAGTTCAAGACCACCCTGAACTACATAGCAAGACCCTGTCCCCAAAACAAAAACAAACCAAAAAAAAAAAAAAAAAAAAAGGCAGATAAAAGACTATTTTGAAAGTAAGCCTCACATTGTTAGGGGCAGTACAAAATGATGCCACTTCTAGGTGCTCAATATTTGTAAAATAAACAGACTTGAAGTATAAGGTATTAATGCAAATGCTTAATACTATCAAAATTCAACCTTTAAAGTGTTGGAAAAGCAAAATATGATAACAATGATCTCGAAACAACCCAAGGACCCATCATGTGGTATCTTCACAAAATGGCGCATTACACTTAAAATTAATGAACTACAGCCACACACAACACGGATGAACCTCAGCAATACTTAAAATGTTGAAGTGTGAATCCAGTTTGAAAGGATTTCCACTGGCCAAACTAGGGATGATTTTAGCAGCAAAACAGCGACAAGATTGGACTACAACCCCTGCAATAAAATAAGACTATTCAAGCTCACATCGTATAAATAAATTAAAAGGCTCTTTCAGCAGAATGCCAACCCAGGAGTGTAGAGGGAATGATTGGGAATTACCATGTGGCAATACCAAAGTGGAGGCTGATTCCAGCAGGAGTTAAAAGGATGCTAAGGCTGGTGGGTGCAGGTTTGACAAGGTAGAGGATATGGGGCAGACTTCTCTAATGCTCCCCCAAGGAATACTTACCAAGAATAGAGGGGAGACAGCAAAGTGAACGGCATAATCAGCTAATGAAGATTAACATCACCAGTGTTGGGAGGATCCTGTTGTACACTTCCTGATGAGATACACTGAGATAAGCAGAACATCCTTCTCTATGGTGTTTGTTCTATCTGAAGGGCCCAAGTTGCAGGGCGTTCTCTAGAATGTGAGTGCTGGGGGTGGAGGTCCTGCATGCTACCTGAGCTCTGGGCCACTGAGCTACATCCTCAGCCCAAGGCCTGTACTCTTTCAAAAGGTCAAACACCAGAAAGCCTGGAAACTTCCAGATTAAAGGAGTCTGAAGATACATAATAACCAACTATATCGTGCATTGCTGTGTAGCTCTCAAAACTACAAAGGAAAGGGAACTTACAGAGACAGCAGCCGAAATGTGGGTGGGTACCATGGATGTGAAGGCAGCGCGTTACGCAGGAGCGGCCCCGCTTTAGTGAAACACAGTAGAGTGTTTAGGAGTGATGAGACATCGTGTCTGTGGTTTGCTTTCTTGACCTTCAAAAGGTCCAGAAAAAGACTGAATACCTCGGGCCACATGCACACCCACGTACAAAGAGTGAGCAACGGAACAAATGCAGTAACTCTGAGTCAAGGATGCCTCTTCAGTGACATTAAAATACCTAGGGAAGAGTGCCTTTGTGTAGTTTCTTGAAGTTGCAGATCACTTGCTGGTCCGTGGGCTGCGAAAATGTGTCATGTGAGGGCCGGGGAGCAGGGGACTTGACCTTTATGAAGTCATACTCAGCATCTATGTCATCCACCAAGGCTGGAGCGTGTTCCAGGGCACTGTCCATCGGAAAAGCCATCTTCCAGGTAGTTAGTTGACTGCAGAAAGATATTTCTTAACAGTGGGTGCGAACACCTCATGCACCCATTGCATGAACAACTGAACAACTGCCCTGTGACCCAAGCTTTTTCATTGGTTCTCCACATGAGCAGCAGTCTGGCCTTGTTCACATTCGGTGCCTTGAATGCATGATGGGTCTGGGAATGGTGCACCAGTAGTGGCTTAATCTTTAGATTGGCGCTTGCATTTGCACATGGCAAAAGGGTCATTCTGTCCTTTAATGGGCTTGCGCCCTGGCAGTGTGATATAGGTTCTGTTCAGTCTCTTCTTCCAGAAGAGCCCTGTCTCATTGCAGATGAAAATTTTTGAGCAATGCATTCTTCTGCCTTCATGAGATCCATGAATTTTTGTAGACTTTTGCAGCTTGTCAGAATTGGAAGTCTCACCATGTCTTATCACACTGTGGATGACACTTCTCTTGTAGAGTTCATCAAACCATCCTGTACTGGCTTTAATTCATCCCTTGTTGCACTTGTACAGGGGTTTTCTTGCAGTAAATCCCTGTGCAATTTCTTGGCTTTTTCACAGATCATAGCTTCACTAACGCTATCACCTGCCAGCTGTTTTTCATTCAACCATGCTAACAAAAGTTTTTCCACCTCTTCCAGCATTTGTATTCTCTGCTTCATTAATATTGTTACTCTTTTTGCCACACCAGCTCCTTTGATGGCATCTTTGTTCTTCAAAATAGTTGAGACTGTTGACTTCACCATTTTGTACTCTGAGACCAGATCAGTCACACACATATCACATTGGGATGCTTTTCTGTAATTTCCTTCTTCAGTGGTTTTCCTCAAAATCTTACCATTCTTGTTCTGCACTTTGTTACCTTCATTATCGCTTTGTCTTTTTTTCTGATTAGATTAGCATAAAAAAAGCCAAGTACTTTGCATCAGGACAATAGGAAAGATGACTTGTGATCATCTCAGGAAATGGCCAGATCTTAGTCATTTTACACTCAACGGTATCAAGCACAGACTTAAGACTTTGCTTTGAGAACCTGAGGGTGCCCTGCTCACTCAGGGCTGCTAAAGGAAATATATCTCAAGGCCAGCCATCCGGGAATTCAGAAGGCAATGCAGTTATGGTCCACAGTGACTAGGGTACTGCTCTGGCCAGCAGGCAACCTTGGTATCATCTGACAGGTTCTGATTTTCAGGCATGCAGAATGCAAGTTACAGGGTAATGGAGGCTTTTACCCAGATTTAGAAGGCCTGGAAGACCAGCCATAAATATGTGACAGTCTCAGTCCCCACCAGGAGTCCCTGGGAGAGTGATGCTTAAAGCTGTGAGTGAAGCTGAAGGCACAGTAGAGACTCCCGGAAATTGAATATGACAGGAATATAAAACATCTACTGAGGAGAAAACTACAGTAGCACGTGGAGCCACAGGGGTGGGGCTGCCACACCCTCTGGAGCTCACATTACCACAACCTGCTCTGGTACTGGACATGGAGCTAAAGGGTTTGTTTGCCCTGCTGGGTTTTGGTCTTGTGTTGATTCATTTCCTTTGCACCGCTCTGTTCCTCCCTTTTGGAATGAAAATGTTCACCCTGTGCCATTGTACGTTAGAAGTATTTAACTTTCCCTTTGATTTTTATAGAGGTTCACAGCTGAGTTTGGTTTGAGTATCAGATTAGATGTTGGACTTGGGATTTTTTGGCAATGCTAGAACTGTGAAGAATTTGGGAACTCGAGATAGACATGAGCCTTTTGGGGACAAGAGGCAGAATATTATGGTATATATCTAAACCATCTCCCAAAAGTCTCATGTATTCAGAGGTAGGGCCTGGTTAGAAGAGGTGGGTCACTGGGGCTGCGACATGGAACAGTGGATTTCTCGTTCCATGCTCTTCTCTCCGCTTCCTGGCTGCTACAGGGTGAGCAGCTGTCTTCTGCCATCCACAGCTCTTTTCAGATTTTTCTTATTTTTAGACAGGATCTTGCTAAACTCACTAAGTTGCCCAGGCTAAGCTCAAACTTGTGATCCTTCTGCCTCAGCCTCATAGGATGTTGGACTTAATAGACATGTCAGCCTGCCCGGCTCTAGCCTGTTTTTTTATATTTTATTTTTAAATAGGATCTCACTAAGTCACTAGGTTGCCCAGGCTGGGGACAGACAAAACTTAATGGTCCTCCTGCTTCAATCTTCCAAAGTGCTGGGATTACAGGGGTGTGCCACCAGGCTGGCAGCATTTCATTACATTTCTGAACTGGCAATCATGTTCTTAAATCAAGCCAGCCCCGTATCACTTTGTGAAAGTACCATTTTTTCTTTTTTTGAACTGGACAGGGGTGAGGAGCAACCTTGTAACTGTTCTTAATTATGCAGAATTAGATCACTAATTTTTATTCAATTTGAAATCTTGATTTAGAACCAAAGCAGTGAGAATGAAGCTTTACAAATATTGCAAAATTACTACAACATTGTGATATGGCTTTACATTGATTGTACATACAGGAAAAAATAACATTAGAATTAAGGCAATGACAATTGTGCAAACCAAGCACAGTAACCCTGATAGTCCTTAAACTGTTATGGTTAGGTGATGGTTGATATTGCTATGCAGGTCGGTCTGCTTTGAAGGACTTCATCCATTTAAAAAATTCCCTTCTACTGGCCCACAATGGCAAGAAGCAGCCTTCGATAATCTCCACTTGTGTCACTTGCAATCATTGTGCCCAAGGTCTTCTGATACATCTGCGCAAACATCTGTTTTATTTGTACAAGGTCAATCTGTGTAAGAAATGACAGTTTTAAAAATGTGTCAAAATAAAATTTTATTATAATTTTTAAAATAAGATATTAATAATCAAAATAGGGAAGTAGGGGAGAAATATCAAGTGACTGACATTTTTATAGCTGACATTTATACCAGTACTAGCACTACTCAGTGAAGGTCTGACTTGCTGCTCTGTAAAATACCAGATAAGAACAGTACTAGTTGGGTTGGAGATATAGCTCTTCGGTACGGCACTTGCAATAGCAAGGTCCTGAGTTCAATTCCTGGCACCAAAAAAAAAAAGAATGGTACTAGTTTTATCTATTATTCTAAAATATTAGTCACTGAAAAAGCAAAGTGGCCAGGCATGGTGGGGCATGCGTGTAATCTCAGCACTCAGGAGGATCACCTTGAGTTTGAGGCCAGCCTGAACAAGGGAAAGCCTGTCTCAAAAAACCAAAACAAAAAACCCCAAGATGTAAGAGGGCTACATAGGATGTGCCATTTGATAAGAAAAGGGCTGTCATCAAAAACACCAAGCACAGTTAAATATTGGTGAGGACGCTGAGAAATGAGAACACTTGTACATTGCTGCTGGAAAGATGGTACAGCTGTCATGGAAAACAGTAAGGTGATGCCTCAAAAAAAAAAAAAAAAAAAAAAAAACACCACCCAACTGAATTATATTACCATGCACTTCTTGATAAAAAAAAAAAAGTGGAAACAGGAACTTGAATAGGTTTCTGTGCACCCAGGTTCATACCAACATTATTCACAACAGCCAAAAGGGGGAAGCATCCCAGCTGTGCCCAGATGTAAATGAATTAGCAGGTGATATACAGATATTATTTAGCCTTAAAAAGGAAGATACACATGCCTGTAATTCCAGCACTTTGGGAGATTGAGGCAATAGCATCATAAATTCAAGCCCAGCCTGGGTAACTCAGTGACTTAACGAGACCATCTCACAACGCAAAAGAAAAGGCTGAGAATGTAGCTTAGTGTAAAGGTCCTAGGTTCAGTCCCCAGTACTGCAATCAGTCTTTTAAAATATCTTCCAAATTTTCATAAACTAGTATTCTTCATAGACCTTCTCAAGTAAGAAAATCTCCTGGTGTTGTCTTCCTGGGGGCACTGAAGTCTGCTGCACTACTGCAGGCCTCTCTGCTAGCACGAGGAAAGTGAACACTGTGCCTTATTCCATCTCTCTTTAAAAATGACAAAGACCGATCTTTTTTACGCTGTTCCTGAGGGTTTCACAAACAAAATACTTCTAAGAAATGAACATTCAAAATCAAGTTAAGACCATACAAAAGAAGAAAGGGCTGCCTGGGCTCACCTCACTTCGAGAAACCACAATTCTGACGAGGGTGGAGTCATCTGTGCCGGCACCTTTCATAGAATAGTAGAGCCGCTCAGCAAAGAAGGCAGGTCGGTTCAGGGCACACTGCACTGCAAGTCAGAGACACCTCAGATCAGAGTCGGTACGTGACACACCAGTCCACTCTGCTAGCTTTTTTTAAAATCACATCTAGCCTGCCTTTCTTCTCTCCAGAGTCAGCTTGGAAATCCCAGAGGAGTTGGAGATATCCACCAACCTACTTTTCTCAGCATCTTTCTTTCTAGATGCATCAGACAGGCAACCTTCAATTCCAGAAAATAAAGCCTACTTTCTCTCTATAGATGTACTGACTCAGGTTCTTTATATACTTTCCCCTTAGAGTGTGAAAATCTGTAGCAAATATGCCCCAATAATATTTTACTAAAAGGAACAATAATAAAATCCTGAATTCTATAAAGTCAGGTATCACTTCACTAAAAGGCGTGAGGCCGGGGATATAGCTCAGTGGCGTAAGTGCCTGCCTAACAAGCGCAAGGTCCTGAGTTCAGTTCCCAGTACCAAAAAAAAAACACCACCAAAACCAAAAGGCCTGAGATAACTTAAAAAGAAAAATCACATATTTAAACAAAATTTCCAAATGATGTTAAAAAACTCTGACATAGCTCTCTGAAATTTATTTAACAAAGTATCTTCCTATAGGAGGTAGACAAGTACTAGCTGTGCATTGTTACTTTAATTTCCATTTCATTAGGCATCTGGGTGTTAGATCATCAGAAACTGGTTAATTTCCAACAGGAACAGTGTCTTGTGAGCAGCGGAAAGGTATATTCTGAGGGCTCGAATTGTATATTGTGGTGGTATCAGTATTCTGAGGACTTTCCCATTCATCTTAAAGGAAGCACCACACTCAGCAGATCTTCCTGCACAGCCTTCGAGAAAGGCCTGCAGATGAAGGCCACGTAACTCCCAAACAGCCCTATTTTATCACAATAAATTTTCATGGGAAATGACACATAAAAATAGAAGATTAAATCAGCTTCTGCTTAAGCAGATTCCAGAGAGAATAGATTATAATCACATAAATAGAACAACTATTCAAAGCCCCTAATCATTTAAAAACAAAACAAACAAAAACACAAAAGTCTCTTACAGATGGTCTTCAAACCACTTTCAATATAGCCGGAAAACTCTCGACTGACGCTGCTTAACAAATCTCGATTAGCCATCTGCAAACGAAAATTATAGTTAAATACTTCCACATTTTAAACTAGACATCAGATTTTCAGACGAGAAGCTCGTACCGTGGAATAAGCCTCTATGGTAGCTTTCAGCTGAGGAAAACTTCTTGTGGCCAGGATCATATTAAAACAAGACTCGTCTGTGCCGAGTCGCCCCTCCCCAGCCTGATAGAGGCGCTGGGCATCTTCCTGAGCCATCTGGTGGTTCACACTCTGGTTCTCATCACGATTTCCCTGCAGAAGGGGAAGGCAGGAATTGGAAGGAGAAAACGCTCTACTAAGCACTCCCCTCATCTTGAGGATTCAAAGAGATAATTAAAGATTAATGTATAAAGTCTGTCCTGTATAGCTTTCATTTCCAAAGAAATTATAACAGTGTAACTAGTCCTACATTATACTGTCAATTTTGGCTTTATAATATTTGACCATGGTTTAACAAGATTATGATAAAATGAGGGTTTCAGGGCTTTGAGAACTAAATTAAACAAACAAAAAAGGTTTACACAAAAGTATCTACCTAGAGATACAAACTTCCACCTAAATGACAAAATTATAACTCTACAGGCTGGAATTTAAGGTCAGCAAGCACTGTTTTGAGTTCCTCTTGTATTCACTCATGCAACCAGACACTGAGCACTTGCTTGATGCCAGGCACCATGCTAGGTGCAGGGACACAAGGGAGACAAAGTCCCTGCCTTCAAGAAATTTCAGTCTAGGGAGGGAGAATATAATATGGTTTCACAAACTTCCTTTCCTTCATCCAAATATAATCTTAACATATACCTACTTATCGTGGAGACAAAAACGACCTGAATTGGACATGGTAGTATATCCCTATAAAAAGACCCACGAGCTTTTGAAGGCAGTTCCTCCAAGGAACAAAATGGGAAGGCTCCTTGAAGGTGGAAAACTGCCTTCTGAGAGTATCTGGCACAAGGAATACGGAGAGGTGTATTTATTCTACGTGGGCAATTGAACACAGAGATGCTACGACAATCTAAGAAAACCTTCTCAGACTATTGCCTTTGGATTCAAACACACAACAGTCCTATTTCCCTAGAGAGCTACTCCTCTGCTCATGCCCTAGAAAAGGTATGGTTAGTTTGAGTTCAAATGTACAGTTTCATCCCTAACTGAGCCACAGAACCTCAAGTTGGTTTTGACTAGTTTTTCTTCAAGTAGAGATACATAAAACCTTCAAGAGCTTAACTTCTTTTCTTTGTTTGTTTGAGACAGGGTCTATGTGGCTTAGGCTGGCCTTGAACCTGAGGCAATCCTCCTGCCTCACACCCGAGTGCTAGGATTACAAACTGTGGCACTACGCCCAGATCAAGAGGTTAATTTCTGATTCTGCAGAAAAGCCACATTTGCAGAGATAAATCCCAGTAGTAACTACAAAAAAATCTGTAACTTGAGTTCTACGCCATCTCACTTAAAGATGGCAATATTACAAGGTGGCTAAATATAAGAAGGAATTAAGAATGTTCACTGGCATAAAACATGTTCTCTCCACGAACAAACATTCACGCTATACTCACCTGGCACATGGATACAAGTAAACGTTCAAAATGCCCCGATGTATCTGACCGAATATCCTTCTCAAGGTCTCGTCCAAATTCTGACTGATAACATCTAACAACTTCTCGGATTTCTTGATTTGTTCTTGTGCACAAAATCTCAATCAATACACGTTCCTGAGTTCCTGCTCCCTATATGAAGGGAGAATTATACAGAAGGAAAACAAAAATATCTCAAAGTAACTCAATCTTAATAGTCCGTCAATATTTCTGTGTCCTTTAGACCTGAAAGGCTCTACATTTCAGATGATATGAAATAATATATTGCTTTAATCTTTCCTTCCATATTCAGAACTACCATAATTTGTAGGTTTTACATATGAGATAGCACATAATACTTACAGTAATAAATGACACAGTACCTGCATTGCATTCCGCAAGCTCCAGGCATCATAATATGTAGGAGGCATGAAAAGGGCAAGGATAAGTTCTTCCATGTTTCCACTCAACTCCGATTTGAGATCCTTGATCAAATCCTGTTTAATGACAAATGCAATTTAAGTACACAGGCTCTCCAAATTTTGTCCTTTAACCCTTTTAAGGAAAGTATGGAAAAAGAAATGGAGTTGCTCTATAAAAGCTGAACTTGAAATCTGAGCATGAAATACTAAGAAATAGTAAATTAGTTAAATCAAGCAGATGTAATTGCATTAATTCTATCTACAAACAATTCTCTTTTTATATATGAACAATTCTTACTGCAGTTCTACTATGAGTTACACAGCAAAGGAAACATTAAGGAATTCAAATTAACAAAGTGATAAACAGTCACTTAGTACGAGAAATCATTCTTGGTTCTACGAGGAAGTAGAAGCCAGTGCCATCTTTTAACTTGGAAAGAGAAACATAAAGAGGTAATATCAGCAACCTGAATTCCAGCACCAGAGGATTCCCACAGAAATCAGTAACACAAAAAGCTGAAATAGGAAAATGATTAATGTAGGCTGGAGTGCTCAGAAAAAGTATTTAGTCCAGATTTTTTTTTTTTTTTTGAGACAAGATCTCACTATGAAGTCCAGGCTGGCGTTGAACTCACTATGTAGCCCAGACTGGCCTCAAACTCATGGCAATCCTCCTGTCTCAGCCTCTTGAGTGCTGAGATTACAGGAGTATGCCACCACACCCAGCTAGTTCAAATCTTGAAAATATGTAAAAATTAGCAAAGAGAAATACGGGGATTTAAGGCAAGAAGATTAAACACAAACAAGCAACCTCTACTCACAACTCTAGAATCATCTGTAGCATGTGTTTTTAAAAAACTGATACCTCGGACTTTAGTTGAAAAACTAAGACTGAGAAATTGTTTTAAATTTTAAAGGAGATCATACTCAGCTAAGTTTGAGAATCACTAGGTAGAGATGTAGGAATGAACAAAGTTTGCTTAATGGAACAATAAGACAACTAACTTTGTTAAAGAGGAAGATTTTCCTACAAAGTAGTAACACGAAGTTGTACCTGAACCTTAGGTTGCTTTCTAGGAGGAGCCATTAGAATCTTTTATGCAAGAGGGCACAAATGCAGAAACAATATTCGGGAAAGCCTATGGTGACAAGGGTATAGAAAGCTTTCCCTTTTTTTCATTTGTTTTTGTTTGTTTTTTAGTCCTGGGAACTGAATCCAAGGTTGCTCTACCACTGAGCTTTACCTCCAGCCCTTTATATTTTTTGAGACACTGTAAACTGCATAGACTAATCTTGAACGTGCAATCTTGCCTCAGCTTCCCCTGCTTAGATGAGAACAATTAGACTACTGTAATATTTAGGTAAGTAAGGCTTGAGCTTAAGTGGTGGCAACGGAAATGAAAAGATACAAAACAGACGAAAGATATATTTTAAAGAGTCATTTTACAGAATAAACCGATAAAAGTTAGTAAGTAACCACTTTACATTTCAGGAATATAATAGGCACTGAATAAATATTCAGTGACTGAGTGATAAAGAACCCAGAATCAAGATAACACTCTAACAGGGTAGAAAAATTATTATACAGTAGAAAGGCAAGAGAAGTGGCTGGGGTAAGGAAAGTAAGCTGTGAGTTTAGTTTTCATTCTAAAAAAGTATCTGAAAAATTCAAGACAGCAAAGTGCAGTCTAGATATGAACAAAAAATATTCATAACATGGCAAATACCTTAGTAAGAGAAGTAGTGATACGGAACCTTAACAAAGTCTAAGGCTTGTGCTGTATAATTAGGTTTTTGTGTGTGTGTGGTACCAGGAATTGAACTCAGGACCTCACACTTTGCCAGGCAGGTGCTGTGCCACTGAGCTATATCCGGCCCTGTATAATCAGTCTTTTTTTTTTTTGTTTGTTTGTTTGTTTGTTTTTTGTTTTTCTCCAGTACCAGGAACCGAACTCACGACCGTGCGCTTGCCAGGCAGGCGCTTTGCCGCTGAGCTAAATCCCCAGCCCTTGTATAATCAGTCTTAATAATGGCAGAGTAAAAAAGGCAAAGTAGGACGAACCCATGGAGCACCAGCACACCCTGAGAAAAGTAAGCTGGACACAGAGAATGTTAGGGAATTTTCAAGATTATTATCTAAATGGCAGAACAATTCTGTCCATTTTTCCCTTTATATAATGACAATTTTTAGCCATAGACTCTTGCATTTAGTTATAGATCATTCCACAAATATGCTTATTAAAATAAGTTACTTAGGCTGGGGGTTTAGCTCAGCGGCACAGCGCCTGCCTGGCAAGCACAACATTGCGAGTTTGATTCCCGGTACCGGAAAAAAAAACAAAAAGAATTTATATTAAAATAAGTTACTTAGCTGGGCATGGTGGCACACACCTGTAATCCCAGCAGGAAGGTCACTGTAAGTTTGAAACCAGCCTGAGCTACAAAGTGAGCTCAAGCCCAGTCTGAACTACATAGCGAGACCCTGTCTCAAAAAAAAAAAAAAAAAAAAAAAAAGCTACTATAGGTCAAGCATGGTGGTCCAGGCCTGTAATCCCAGCATTTGGGAGGCTGAAGCAGGAGGATTGCTGTGAGTTCAAGGCCAACCTGCGCTACAAAGTGAGTTCAAGGTCAGCCTGAATTGCATAGTGAGACCCTGTCTCGGCAAAAAAGAAAAAAAAGTGCTACTTGGTGTTATAAATTCAAAGATAAATATGCTACGGTTTGTCCCAGAGAAGCTCAGTTTGGGGGGAGTAGAGAGATCAGTGACAAGAGAGGTTTTACAAAGTCCTATGGGACCACAGTGGATGGAACAGCTGAATTCTGCTCAGAGCAGTCAGAGTAGCTGTTATTTAAGCTAAATCTTGAAGAAGATATTTCCCATGCAGAAAAAGAAGGAAAGGTGTAATGGGCCAGGAGCACAGCAAGTACAAAACAGACGTAAACAGCAAATAGTTCCACATAACTGTAATATAGGATGGCTTTAGAGGGAGCAAAGGAATGAAGATGATGCCAAGGACCCAGAATGAGCAGGCTCTGTTCTAAGTCTTGAGTCTCACTGCAAGGAAAAGAATGAGAACCATACTCTTGATTGTGTCTGTGTCATAATCTACTTTGTATCCCACACAAGACATGGAATAGGGTCTGACTCAGATCCAGGACTAGGCTTGACTACAAGTTTAAAGACAAACAGTGAATATACTTCAGGTCTGTAAAATCTAGTTGCCCCTTCTTTTTATCAGACAAACTAACAAATACATAGTCTCCTATCTGCCATGAATGCAGAGCCTACAGGCCTCTGCTGCTGCTTACTCCAGAAAAGAAAAAAAAAAAAAAAAAAAAAATCATACCTTGCCATACATGGTCTTAAAAGCTGTTTTAATTTTTTGCCTCTGATCACTGGAACGGTTGGCCACAACATCCACAATTGCCTGTTCATCCGTCCCTGGAAGAATCATAAATGCTTAAGTAAAGACAAAGTCTACTGGATTCTCCTGAGGTCACCTGTGATAATCCCTACAAGGCAGGGGGCGCCAGATTGTATCAGGCACATACACACAAACTTGGTTGACACACGACTTGGTTTAGGATACAGAGTTTATTTTTGCTTTAGAATCAATCAGTTTAACTTATATGACAAAATCCATTTTCCTTACCAAATCCCTTCATGGCTTTACGGAGGATTTCTGCATCTCTCATAGCATCAAAGTTGGCAGCTGGCCGGATTGTCCCCTGAGTGCTCTGAACAAAAGGCATAAAATCAAGTCAGGATCCTCTGCTGACAAGAAGGCAACTTAGACTTCCCCAGATATGTTCATAGGCAAAAAGGCCAATGTTTGGCTTTAAGGCAAGCATTTGAGCTCTTTATTACCAGGGCTCAATCTGGAACAGACAGGAAAACCTATCCCGCTTCTGGACAGATTTTTCTCCTGCTAACAGACAGCCAGACACCAAACTTCCAGGAAATAAGGAAGTCAAACTTGTGAAATTAAAGTTCTGATCTTCTGATGCTTTGGCTTCCTTTCTGGTAGAAGAGGAAAGAAGCGATGGATCTACCTTTTAGGTGATCAACAGTGTGAGATGAATGACAACGTTTGACTTGCAAACAGAAGAAAATGACGTTAGTGAGGTAGACACAAGCACCCAATGAGTTTCAAACTGGCAATATAATTCTGTCAACAGCTCTTCACTTCCTACATGGACTCCAACTATTAGACATGAATATTTTATAATGAGAAAAACACAAAATGAAGACATGATTAGAGATTCTGGGGGAATACAACATCCTTCATCTGTTTTATAAGGAAACAAGTCAGAAAGCAAAACACAATTTTTAAAATACAAATCTAAATAAAAAATGAAAATTCACCATTCAGCAAATACCACAGTAATAGCTGTTTCAGGCAAGAATTATCAACAGATGTTAAAAATAACGGGGAAAAAAAATAATGGGCAAAAAAATTATGATGAGAACAAAATAATCTGTAACATTACAACAGATAACCGGGCAGGCACCGTCTTAAACAAGTGATTATCACTGGTAACAGAATAAATCCAACAATAAGTACCTCTAGCTATCATGTGTTAGAGAAAAAATTCTGTGGTTTTCCTTCTATAGGCTTGACCTGAATTTAATCAGGAGGAAACATCAGACAAACCCAGACTAAGAAATATTTTACAAGCAACATGTGGTGGGACACGCATGTAATTCCAGCACTTTGGGAGGCTGAGGCAGGAGGATTTCAAGTCTGAGCCCCACCTGGGCATTTTAGCAACTTAGTAAGACTCTGTCTCAAAAAATAAAAAGGGTTGGATTCAGTCCCCATTGTGAAGGCCCTGGGTTCAATCCCCAGTAGAGAAGGAAAAAAAAAAAGAAAAATCTTTTATAAAATAACTATTAGTACTCTTTAAAAGTGTCAAGGTCATGAACAATGTAAGACTGAAAAACTGTTTCAGATTAAAGAGGCCTTGAAAGACCTGATAATAAATTTCATCCTGGATTTGTTCTTAAGCCAGAAAAAGTACATTACTGGACATCAGTAAAATTTAAGTAAGTTGTGAAGGCTGGGTGAGAGTACCATATCAATGTTACTATTATTTCCTCATTTTGATCACTGTAGTGAATTTTTATAGAAAGTTAATGTTTGGAAATATGGATAAAGAGCATATAAAAACTCTTTGTACTATCTTTGCAAATTTTTTGTAAGACATTATTCCAAAATTAAAAGTTAAAAAATTTAAAATACAATGCTATGAGACAATTCAGTAGTTTTCTTAAAATGCTCAAGTTAGAGCTTAAGAGGGATAGAATGAAGCAAGACAATATATACCTCATGAGTTTTAAAAACATTTTAGTTGTAATAATATTTTACTAGCTGGGCGTGGTGGTGCACACCTGTAATTTCAGCACTGGGAACCTGAGGCAGGAGGATCATTGAAAGTTCAAGGCCACCCTGAGTTACAAAGTGAGCTCAAGGCCAGCCTGAACTGTACAGCAAGACCCTGTCTCAAAAACGACGAAAAAAAAAATTTTTTTTTTTTTTTGCTTAATCCAGGATCTCCAAAATATTACACTTAAACATGCCATCAATATCATTCCAAAACATTAAATGATCCAATTGTTTTTAGGTAAATGAAACTAAATTTTAAATTATACCTTTTCCTGTGTGTGTGTGTGTGTGTGTGTGTGGTGTGCAGGGAAGGAAATCCCTCATGCACACTAGGCAAGCACTCTTACCATCAAGCTACATCCCCCAGCCTAAAATAATACCCCTGAATACAGCAATACAACCAATACTTGTGGGGATAAGAGTAAATGGGGACAGGACTTGACCACCATTTTAACAGTCATTTCTTTTTTATTTTGGTAGCAGTGAGGATTGAGCCCAAGGCCGTTGCACTGAGCTACATCCCCATCCCTTTTTTTATTTTGAGACAGAGTTGTGCTATGTTGCTGAGTTACCTAGGGTAGGCTTGAACTTATGATCCTCCCGCCTCAGCTTCCTAAAGTGCTAAGGCTACAGGTATGTGCCTGGTAGCAGCCTTTCAGGAAAAATATTTTTAAAAATTAATTAAGTGGTGCTGGGGATCAAACAAAGGGCCTGACTATGGGTTATATTCTCATCCCCAAGAAAATAGTTTTATGGTGAATAATGCCTTCTACTTACATACAATCTTACCATAGGACTTCTTTCTATCAATAAACTTTAGTATCCATTCTCTACTTTCTAAGTTGGGAATGTAAACAGACAACTAACAAGAAATATTCCTATGGTGAGTTTAAGGAAAAATTAAAATCATTCTATTTGTAGCAAATATTCAAGTATAATTTTTTCCCAGCATATTGTCCTTCCATAAAGCAATGTATTAAAAACTGATACAGTTTCCTTTGGTGTAACTACTGTCACTTAAATCCCAAGGAGAGTAGAAGCCTTTGCTTATACTGGCCGAGATAGTAACAGACATTAACTATCACTGCACAGTTTGAGGATTCTTTTTTCTCTAAAAGAAAAAAAATCATCTTATTTTTTATCTGTAGGTGAAAATGTTGATACATTCTCTGCTGAAAGTTACTATTATTCTCTAGGTCTTATATTTGAAAGAAATCAGAGTCCATGCTTTTATGATCAAAACTCTAAGGGACTTTTCTCACTACCACAGGTCCCACCCTTTGATATCTACATGATTCTAACCTTCCTGCTGAAAGCTATCACAGAAAGGTCAGCCGGCCCAGTACCCTATCCAAGACAGAAATTTACTTTTAAACTTCTGTTCATATTCTCTCTTTCTCTCCCCATCTGTTTCTCTCTCTCTCTCTCTCTCTCTCTCTCGCACACACACACACACATATTCATGCACACCTACAGTCATATCAACCAATGTCAGGGACAGGGATATAGCTCAGCAGCACAGCACCTGCCCGGCAAGCACAAGCTCCTGAGTTCAATTCCCAGTACAAAACCAAACCAAACCAAACCAAACCAAACCAAACCAAACCAAATCATCAACCAACCTCTACCCGGGACTTCAAGGACAAGGACCTCATCTCTCACAAAGTAGCCTACTGCACTCCCATCTAAAAGCACACAAAGTCTACCACTCTGTTAACTTCTACCTATGGATTCTAGGTCTAGCTTAAAGTGCTAGACCTAGGTGCTAGACACAAAATAAGTTGTATAAGTGTGTATTTTATTTGAAGTGTCTTACGTTTAAAAATCTTTCATATTTAGTCAAAGTTGATGTCTATAAAATTATGTAAATGCTTAATCTAAAATAAAATCAGAAACTCTCATAAAATTCACAAAAGTTAGTTAACTACTGATATAGAATACAATTAATAATCAACTTCAACAATGGCATGAGAGCCAAATACTGTTATGTACTTTGGAGGAACATTTACTGTATTAGTAAAGCAGCACTGTATAAGGGAGCAATTACTGGTCTGAAAGTCAGAAAAGCTATAGCGTCTGGTCTCAGCTTGGTCTTAACACTAGTAGTCACACTACATGGTCGCACACCATGTAGTCACAGACAAGCTTCTCAGTCTCTCCGGAGCTTAAATTCTTCATCAGGAGAATAAGCCAAAACAAACACTAAGGTATTTCAGTCCCAATACTGAAGTTCTTCTCCTACTAGCCCAGGGCTTGAAAATGCAAGACTCTCATTATCATAAACCATGGAAATCAATAAGCAAATCCAGTGAGATTAAAGCAAGCTTAAAAGTGTTGTTTACATTCCCAGTGACTTGATTAAGATATAAAAGAATTAACAAGGCAATTTAAGAATAAAACAGTATTAAAATAAGGAAATATCAGAGATTGGGTGACAATTTCATATAGTATGGGAAACCTGTGGCTACTGAGAATTAAGATTTAATAGCTACCATGTTTAGAGCCCTGCCCACCAAAACTATGATAAAACCCAAAACAGAGGCCTCAAGAAAGTGGCAAGAGGTCGGGCGTGGTGGCTCACACCTATAATCCCAGCACGAGAATCCCAGCACTCGGGAGGCTGAGGCAGGGTGATCAATGTGAGCTCAAGGCCAGCCTGGGCTACAAAGTGAGATTAAAGCCAGCCTGAACTGCATAGTGAAACCCTGTCTCAAAAAGACAAAAGAAAGAGACAGAGAGACAGAGAAAGAAATAGAGAGAGAGAGAGAAAGAAAGAAAGAGAGACAAGCACATGAGAAGTCAGAAACAAATGAGGGCACAGACACAGGACCTAGTGATTAGTGAATATAAGAAAACCTTACTCACTTCACTGCTATAATCCAAAGAAACAGGAGAGAAAACAGGATAGGAAGGGAAGGATTCGGTAGTGATCTGAAAGAAGAGTGAAAAGTTATAAAGGCAAAGTGGAGAATAAAACCATCCTTCAAAAATCACTGGCAGAAATAGCAATTACCAAGTCACCAGAGTTCATAGTTATGATTGCTGGTAAGAGCAGGGCAGAGGAAAAAGAACTAAACCCAGTATCAAGAGCCCAAGTGAACTTCAAGGATAAAGTTATAGGCAGCAACATCTGGGAGAAAAGCCTGTTTTGTCTTACTAAAGTTATCAGGACAGAACTTAAATCAGACAGACCAAAGAAAGCAAAGATTAAAAGTTACTAGGAAAGCCCATTCCCCTGCTTCATGGAAACCTCTAATGTCAGCAAAGGACTGGGGCCCTTATCTAGTTCATTACCCCTTCTGAGTTTAAAAGGTTAAAGAAAAATACCTGACTAGGGTAAGGAGTCTGTCCTCCAGGATACTGAGAGGGCATCTGTCCTCCAGGAAAGCCACCTATATGTTAAAGACAAACAAAAAGGCCCCAATAGGTTATATAACTCATTTAAAACAGCAGTGATCGCTATGAATACAAAAACATGAGAACGTTCATCATACTATGTCATTCACTAGGATAATTTTTATTTTTTTATTTAAAATTTTTTTTTCACTAGGATAATTTTTAAAATACCAGCATCCTGATTTACTGACTCTAAAAAATAAAAATAACTTGGAACTAAATTCAGTTCTGATTCCAACTGAAATAGCTCACAACAGGAAGATCCAGCAGAGGACTCTGAAGTGCTACAGGATGGCGGGATTAATACATGGAATCTGGAAACTAAATCACTGTAAGCAAGTCCTCTCCCACCCACCCACCCCCTATTCTGCTGCTGACCTACAGGAAACTGAAGCAAGCGAGAAGTACGCGTTCTTGTGTTGAGCCATGGAGATCTGGAGATTGTGATTTAACAACTGGCCTAACTGAAAGGGGTTCCAGAGCCCAGTTTAGTTCACAGGGGCTTGGAAACATATTCATAATTCTCATCTCACCTATGATAAATTCAAGAGAACTACATATTCACTTTTTAGAAGGGTACAGAAGTGGACAGAGGGCCAGGAATACAGTTTAGTGGAATCGCACCTGCCTGGCAAGCACGAGGTCCCGAGTTTGATTCCTGGTACAAAAAAAAAAAAAAAGAAGTGGGCAGAGAAGTTCCTGAAGTGCTGGGGACCAGGCTACGAAAGGATTAAGTTGCTGACCACAGTGCTCTCCTGCTGTGTTAGGAAAGTTCATATTCAGTCTTTGAAGACAAGATAACACAGCAGCTGAGGACTCTCACTTCCTATTCTAGAGCAATAAACTGCCAACCTAAGACATAAGACAGTTCTCTCAATTAGCAAGATTTACTGTTTGGAATGTCTTTGCTCTAACTTCTCAAGGTCTTGCTCATTTTTGAGTGCCTTTTGCCTCAGGTGTGCCCTCTACTTTCCTGAACCCTCCTGATAATGTTAAGGACTCAAAAATACTGATAGTTCAGAGAAGACTTGGTCTTAGCTCCAAGACAGCACCGACCTTCCTGAACCCCTATAACCATATTGCATTGTGTCTTTTATTTAATCCTTCACCATAAGCTTATCCATAGAATTGGGAGCCTTGAACAGGGGATATAGCTCAGTGGCACAAGCACCTGCCTGGCAAGTGCAAGGTCCTGAGTTCAATTCCCAGCACCAAAAACAGCTCCCCGCAAAATAAAACATTGGGAACCTGATCAGCTCTCAACACTAAAGGATTTACTTTTTTGGAACAGGTCTTTTAATAGAAAAAGTGGTTCCTTGTCTCCATTTTATTAAGCTCTTCCATCTAGTTAATATATTTAGTTTTTTTTTTTTTTTTTTTTTTTTTTTTTGGTCTTTTTAAGACAGGGTCTCGCTATGCAGTTCAGACTGGCCTTGAGCTCACTTTGTAGCTCAGACTGGTCTTGAACTCGCAATGATCCTCCTGTGTCAGCCTCCCGAGTGCTGGGATTATAGGCGTGCGCCACCACGCCTGGCTAAGTTAATATATTTAATGAAACTATGTGTTTAAAATTATTTACAGCCAGGTATAGTGGTGCAATGCCTGTAATTCCAGCACTTGGATGGCTGAAGCAGGAGGACTGTAGCAAGTTCAAGGCCAGCGTGGACTACATAATGAATTTAGGCCAGTCTACATAGTAAGATTCTGTCTCAAAATAAACAAAATAATTTACAGAAACAAATGAATGTTCACTGAGGATGAACCCAAACATAACCCTAACTTCGTTCCACAGCAGCTGAAAAACATACAGTATATGACACTGTTTCTCCCTGGGCAGCTAGTACCTACCAGGTATCGGGAGCTGAGATGGACCACCACCACCATAAGTCTGTGCGGGTGGCTGGGGATATCCAGAAAAACCTGACCCACCTGGTGGGACTCCAAATCCTTGGCCTGGAGAAATGAGAGAAAAGAACAGTCTGACAAACTATAGTGAAAAATTCTCGTGATTGTAGAGAAAACTTCAGAAAAATGTCTACCATTACCAGAGAAGAAAATACTATAGTAGCAGGCTTGTCTATATTTCAACTTCTCACCAAATCCTCCCACAGTAAAAAATAAATTTAAAAATTTTACTGTATTCCTTTTTTTTTTTTTTTTCCGGTACGGGGAATCAAACTCAAGACTTCATGCTTACCAGGCAGGTGCTATGCCGCTGAGCTAAATCCCCAGCCCTTATATTCCTCTTCTTTATTATAAGACAAACTGCTAAGGTTTTGCTTTTTTAATCCTCAGATAAAGCTGTTCTAAAGATCACTAATTAAGTGCCCTAATCAGTTTTTTTTTAAAAATATGTTTAATGCAGATACCATGCTTTTCTTTTTTTGTTTTTCTTCTGGTACCAGGAATCGAACTCAAAACCTTGTGCTTGCCAGGCAGGTGCTGCGCCGCTGAGCTAAATCCCCAGCCCCTACACCTAATCAGTTCTTAAGACTACAAATACTCAAAGTGTCACATGTGGGACCTTCATTACCATGAGATTTATTCCAGCTCCCTTCATATTAGAATTTTTTAGACTACTCCCAGCTTTTGGCACCTTTAGGAGCCTTTATCCTTCTGTCTTGCCATCCAGGTCCTTAATATTCACAGTTAGCTAAGAATGACTTTTAATCGCCTGCTAAAAAAACAGGAATGAAGAAGATAAGGGAGAGAAAGGAAAAGTACTTCAGCAATCTCACTGCTACTGAGTTCACAAGCCCTAACTCACCTCCGGGGTAGGCTGGAGCTCCCCCTGGCTGTGGAGCACCAGGACAGCCTCCTGGGGCTGGATAACCTCCAGGTGCAGGGTAGCCTCCACCTCCTGGGTAGCCGCCACTTGGTGCTGGGGGGTAGGCACCGCCTCCCATTGGGGGAAAGCCACTAGGATAAGGATACTGACCAGGAGGGGGAAAAGATGACTCCTGACCTGCAGGCTGGAAAATCAGAAAAATTTTCAATAGAACATGATCACAGAGAAATATGACCTATCTTTAAAAAAGAAACAAAGGTTACTATAAAGGTCTCTCCATTTTTTTAAAAAAAACTTTTTAAACATTTTTGCTGGGCACGGTAGTGCACACCTGTAATCCCAACACTCAGGAGGCTCAGGCAAGGAGGATCACTGCAAGTTGGGGGCCAGCCTGGGCTACATGGGGAGACCCTGTCTCAAAAATGAATGAATGAATGTGTTTTGTGAGAAGTCCTAGTGTCTTACACTAATTTATCAGTATTATAGTAATTTGTCAGGACATTTGTTTGTCAGACTCAGCTAAACTTAATTCTATTTGGGTCAGGGAAGAGGGGTCCATTTCTCTACTTAAAGAGCCAGAACTAGATTGTGTAGTTAAATTAAAGAAGTCACACAACTCACATAGAGTATAACATTCTGGATGTTAGTTCAAACTAGACAATGTCAAAGAGTAGCAGAGATTCGGTAAACTCTAACCAGGTGTGTGCATGTTGGGGGATGCTACATTCCCAGCTACTTAGGAGGCTGAGGCAGGAGGATTCCTGGGACTTAGGAGGTCAAGACCATCCTGGGCAATATAGTAAGCCTCTGTCTCTAATGATGAAAACAAAAACACACTTTCTCCTTAGCTACAAAACTATACTATGGCCAGGTGTGGTGGCGCCCACCTGTAATCCCAGCACGCAGGAGGGTAGTTGCGAGTTCGAGACCAGCCTGGGCTACAAAGTGAGCTCAAGGCCAGCCTGAACTGCATAGCGAGACTCTGTCTTAAAAAGACAAAAAAAAAAGCACAAAAAACTATACTATGTTTCCTAAACCACTGAATACTGATAAGAGATGCAGACAGAAATGTACATCACTTCCAGGCTGGCTCTGAAAACCTCTCTCCAATCCTCCATGCTCCCTCTCTTCCTTCACCTGCCAGCCGATGCAGAGGATCCAGCAGGGGACTCTGAAGTGCTACAGGATGGCAGGATTAATACAAGGAATCTGGAAACTAAATCACTGTAAGAAGCAAGTCTTCTCCCACCCACCCACCCACTCCATCCTGCCGCTGACCTACAGGAAACTGAAGCAAGCGAGAAGTACGTGTTCTTGTGTTGAGCCATGGAGATTTGGAGATTGTGTATTTTAGCAACTGGCCTAACTGAAAGGGTTGCCAGAGCCCAGTTTAGTACATAGGAACTTGGAAACATATTCATATCTCATCTCACCTATGATAAATTCCAGAGAGCTACATGCTCACTTTGTAGAAGGGTACATACATTGTCATGGACATATACAGTCTCCCAGGGGTAGATGGCAGCCCTGTATATTTATAATCATAGAACTGAAATGCATAATTCTTACTTACGTCTCAACTAAGTGTTTAGTGCTCAGAACAGTACAGCTATGAAGTCCAGGGCCCTCTAATCCACTACGACTGACATGGTCAAGCTCTTCTTAATTATGTAAATTTTCTGACACAAAAGTTAAAAACAGTGGTTCTCGGGGAGGTTTAGCTACCTGTTTCATTGGCTCACACTGCAGCAATTAACATTTTTCAAAACTGACTTGCAAATTTCAAAACTTTGGGTGATTTCACATAAAATTCAGGTTTCTGACTTTACTTGTACTGAAATCTCCATCAATACTGGTCTGCCTCTGTGTGATCACATGGGCTAGAGGTAAGCGGCCATCTGCTTTCCACAGATGGAAAAGTTGTCTCTGGTTTTCCCACAACACCTGGCTTTACTCACTAATTCTACCCAGTACCTCTGGGCACTTGATTTATGACCCCTGCTCTAGCAATCCGTCATGCGCTACTCCTATGGAACACTAGTTTCAGGGATCTGAGGCATTTTTGTAGTTGATTTCTTTTTTTTGGATACTAGGGATCTAACTCAGGATCTTACGCTCGCCAAGCAGGTGCTTATGCCACTGAGCTATATCCCCGGCCCGCATTTTTGTATTTGAAATGGCAATACTTACAGGATATCCAGGGAAAGGTGGGTAGCCTGTGGGGGGATAGCCTGGGTACGACATTCTGTAATGACAATAAGAAAAAGTCCTCTTTAATTTCTTCTAAGTCTTAAAGCCTCTGAAGATACAGAGATCAATATACAAAATCATGCACATGTGCAATGTATTGTGGGCATTAAAAAGTGGTTATTAGGGGTATGTGCAACACACAAAATGCTTCATTTCACTATACGGACCAATATATACCAGTATAGCATAGTAAAGATTCCATTTTCATTCTCCTACCATGCAGTTTTTGTCATATCTAAATGCTACCAGTACTATTATTTATGGAATATTTTTAGACCAATTAATTACTAGTGAAATTTCTTTTAAAAGTAGGCATCCTGAGCCGGGTGTGGTGGTGTACTCCTGTAATCCCAGCACGTGGGAGGCTGAGGCAGGAGGATCATTATGAGCTGGAGACCAGCCTGGGCTACAAAGTAAGCTCAAGGCCAGCCTGAACTGCATAGCAAGACCCTGTCTCAAAAAGACAATCAATCAATCAATCAATGTAGGGATCCTATCATTTTCATATATGGAAAGCTCAGAATAGCTCTCCTGACACAAACTGAAGGTAACAATAAAATATAAAATGCTTTCTAGGAGCCACAGAAATCCCCCTAGATGGAGATATCACCTCAGTATGGGGTACAAGGCTTAAGAGTTAACATTCTGAGCCAGGTTTGGTGGCGAAGGCCTATAATCTGAGCTACTCAGGAGGCCAATGCAGAAGTAATGATAAATCCAGGAGTTCTACACCCACCTCAAAAAAAAAAAAAAAAAAAAAAGTTACATTCTAGAGTAACATGTATTGGATTAAAGCCTGGCTTTCTTTTTTTAAACTTCTAGTTATGGAAAATTTCAAACTGTTCAAAAGTAAAGATAAACTCCCTGGACTTTTCTCAGCTGCAATATTTACTAATTCATGGCCAAATCTCTCATTCTTAACTACTCCACTAGATAATTTTGATTTTTTTTTTTTTTTGGTACCAGGAATCAAACTCAGGACCTTGCACTTGCCAGGCAGGTGCTGTGCCCCTGAGCTATATACTCAGCCCTATCACTAGATTATTTTAAGTAAATCTCAGACATTGTATCATTTTGGCCAATTTATACACACACACACATATATAGAAAATTTCACTATGTTACCCTAAACACATGATTACTTGTTAAATAATTATCCAGGTTGTTTAAAAAATATAACCATGTCATTATCATACCTGAAATTAGCAATTATTCCTTAATATCCTTAATGAGTTAGTGCTAAAAGTTTCAATTATCTTTTAAATGTTTTTATTTTTTGTTTTGCACTGTTTTAACTTATTACAGAATATTTCAAATGTATTCAAAAGGAGAAAAAAACACTATCAAGTAGAAACACATGGCATTACTGTAACTCTACAGTTCTGACGTATAAGGTCAGTTTTAGCAATTATCAAGTCATGGTCAATCCTACCCCCAACCACTAGGCTCCTAGATTATTTTAAAACAAACCCTCAGGCATCACATCAAAAACTCATGAAGATTTCAATGCCTTCTCAGTTAAAACAATCAAAAAATCCCCACAACTTTTAAGCCACATAACATACTTTAAAATTTCAATAATGCCTTACTATCATCAAATATTCAATAAATGTTCACATTTTCCCCAATTGTCTCAAAATATTTTTTAT